AATATGTAAATAAATATAATTTAAATAAATATAAAAATATTTATAATATAGTTACATTTTTATTTAAATTCATAAAAACATTTAAAATTTATTTCTAACATTTATTTGTATTATTATTTGTAATGTTTATATTGTAATACATAAAATTATATAAATATTTGTAATATAATAATTTTTCTAATGTTAAATTAAATTTAAATGAATGAACACAAAATATTATTAAATGTATTTATTTTTATATATTATATTGTAATGTGATATTTTTAATAATATAATATTTTTGTAATATGTTAGTATTTTATTCAAAAAATTTAAATATATATGACAGAAAATAAATGTATAATATATAATAACATAAGCATAATATACATATTATCAATGACTAATATACTGTATATATATATATATATATATATATTGGGATAGATAGATAGATAGATAGATAGATAGATAGATAGATAGATAGATAGATAGATAGATTAATGACTGGTAAGTAATACTAATGACTCTATTTATTTCCAGTATCTTTGTTTGTTTTGCTTTTAATTTTCACAATAATATGGTAAATCTTAACCCTAAAATTAAAAGAAAAAATAAAAGAAAATATATAAATTATATTTTATTGTTTTATTAACCATTAAGCATTTTTTTTCATGACGGTTAAGCTCATTTCCTCCACTTTTTTCATTTATTTATTTCTTTTTATTATTAATTGAAACAGTATTAGTAATTAAATAATAAAGTATTTAAATAAATAAACTGAACAGTACAACAATTACTAAAATTGCATAGCGGAAATAAGAATAGTTGATTATTTAAGTCTTAATGGGCTTCGATTTCTTTTCACAAACAATAATTCACAAAAAGTTTCTTTCTTTTAATTTTGGGATGAAATATGACTTGAACATGTTCCTGACAGATTTCTTGGGAATATTTTGAGAGACGCCAGAATCAGCAAATATATTTGTTTTTCACATCTCTCACAGAATATTTTTGGAGTGAATATATTTAGTATCGACATTATGTTCCTGGAAATTGTGTCCAACATCCCCAGATGTTACATTCTGGTTATTCTCATTTCAAAAATCCATTAGATTTCGTAAACAGTTGGAAATGACAAAGCCCATAGCGATGGCAATGTTTGCGCCGTAATGATTGTGTTTATTTTATTAGCTGACTCAAGTGGAGTTCAAGCGTCTCAATGTTTCTTCTTGCGTTCCTCTCATCACCCTCTCGTTATTTTTCCTCTCAACAGGTGTTTATTGCGCAGACCGTGCTGTCGGGCAGCGAGCTCAACGTTCGCCACCTGCTTCTCTGGCTTCGTTTTGCGACGGGGAACCAGGTCCTGGATCCCTGGGTCTACATCCTATTCCGACGTGCCATACTGAAGCGCGTCGCTCCCAAGATGGACTGGTCCCGCGGCTCCATCATCAGCCTCTATCCTACACTCTCGACGTCCTTCCGCAAACTCACGCGCGCCTCTCTTGGAGGGACGATTGACCGTTTGGATCACGACCGGCCGAATCCGCCTCTGCCTGTGCAGAACGCCACTGCGGTGTCTAGTTCCATTTAGCAGCGAAGACTAGCATTTATCTCCTACTTCATTAATGATTCAATGTCTAATATGGCGCCCAAAGTAGGGCATGACCCACCTTTTGAACCCTTTTGTTGGCGCTTCGCTTTCGGAGAGGTGCTCTAGTCGTAACTCTAGTCGTACACGTTTGAGAAGCGTATATTTGAGCTCTCAAGACGGGTCGAACTCGCATGAACTTGGAGAGCGAAGCTGTTGAGGAAAACGTACTGTAGAAATTTGAGTGGGAAAGTGGGCGGGGCTTTATTTTTCCAGTTGGCCGGTGATTGGATGATAAAGTGGCTGGAGGGGGAGGGATTGGAAAATAATTATATGATGTCATTTTGAAGGCGGAGCCTTTGTACAATCCTGTACAAATGTATCAGTTCCTGGAGTTTTTCGCATTCATTTGCTATTTGTTAAAGAGTTAAACCAATCCATGAACCAAACCAACCAACAACAAGGTGAAACGCAACATTGCAAACTCTGATTTAAAACAAAAAAGTATTTGAAACTAGGACAATAAGGCAAGAATGTGTACTTAATGGCTTTAATGAAAACGTGCAGTACAAATTTCAAGGCTTTAGTGGGAAAGTGGGCGGAGCTTGATTTTTCCAGTTGGCCGGTGATTGGATGATGAAAAGTGACGGTTGGAGGGGGAGGGGTTGAAAAGTAAGCATGTTTGATGATGTCGTTTTGGGGGCGGAGCCTTTGCACAATAGTACCCACCCACTTTTTCAGCAGTTCCTGGAGTTTTTACCATTCAAGTCTTCGTTAAAGGATTAAACCCAACCATGAACCAAACCAATCAGATGCAAGGTGAATCACAACATAAAGTCTGATTTAAAGCAAAAAAGTATTTGAAAATTGGACAAAAAGGCAAGAATGTGTACTCAATGGCTTCAATGAAAACGTTCAGTAGAAACCTGTAGGTTTGAGTGGGAAAGTGGGCGGGGCTTGATTTTACCAGTTGGCCAGTGATCACTGGGGGGTTGGAAAATAAGTATGTGATGTCATTTTGGAGGTGGAGCCTTTGCACAATCGGTCCCACCCACTTTCAGTGATTCCTGGAGTGTTTTTCCCAAAGGGATTTTTTAAAGAGTTAAAAGCAACAAACCAAACCAACCAACTAGGAGGTAAATCACTAAATTAACTCTGATTTAAAGCAAAAATGTATTTAAAAATCGGACAAAAAGACAAGTCTGTATATATACTCAATTGCTACGATGAAAATGTACGGCAGAAACTCGCAGACTGGGCTTGCTTTGGGACAACTGGGCAGTTTTGGCTCACTTCCCGGACAAACACCCTCCTTTTCCTTTCTGATAAGACTATGAGGACCACACACTTGGATAAAATGGCAACTTTCACCACGAAGGCGATTCTGGTTTATTTCAGGTCTTGTCATGGAACATTCTTTCTTGTCTTTTGAGGAATCAAACAAGTATCATAACTAGCACAAATTTGGTTATTCTTGTGCGAGCAGACACAAAGTTAGCATCAGACGCTGTCAGAGTGAATGATCTGTTTTGATCTCTTATTTACATCGCATGTAAACCCAAGCATTGCTGCATAAAAATCATTATCCAATCCTCTTGTGTTTGGATTGCTTCGGCCAATTGTTCTGTTAAGTATTTGCATCTTTGGTTGAGATCATTTTTGGCAAGCAGCGTCGCTAAGCCTAGCGTACCCTGCGAACAGAAGCTTATCAGCTAGTGTACATTTAAGACAGTTTCTGGTGTGTAAACATGGATTTACGGACATTTTTGCACGGGTTATAGAGCCATTTGGCCAGCAGTTCAATGTTTTGTGACAAAAAACATGTCTTGGACTTCGTCTGCGACTTCTCAATAGCCTGCAAACACGAGTTGGCTACAAGCAAGGGGTTTTTGGTCGCAGACTGTAATCATGATGATGAGCTTCTGTCTTGTAGTGTGCGCTTGGCTAACAGGAAAACAAGTAGGGATCAGTAACGCAAACTAGATTCATATCAGCTTCCTCGTTCTGCAACAATTTCACGGCTAGGACTGCTAATGCTAAATAAGCATTAGCATGACTAGCTGCAAATAAACCATGTTAAATTCAGATGTTTTTGTGAGTGGAAAAGTGGGCGGGGCTTGATTTTATCAGTTGGCCAGTGATTGAATGATGATAAGTGACAAATGGTTGGAGGGGGAGGGGTTCAAATATAAGATTACCTTTGTGCAATAGAGTGCACAATATGCCCCGCCCACTTTTTCAGCAGTTCCTGGACTTTTTCCATTCATTTTAACCATAGGGATTTTTTTTTTTTTTTTTTAAGTCTTCGGTAAAGAGTTAAAAGCCACAATCAAACCAATAAGCTATGATGTAAATCCCAAATCTCTGATTTGAAACAAAAAAGTATTTGAAAATCAGACAAAAAGACAAACAAAGTAGTACGAATTACTAATGACAGTCAAAGTAGAAATGATGACAAAATAGAAAGCGATTGATTTAAAAATGTTTATTGTATAGAAATAACATGTACATTATATATATATATATATATATATATATATATAAACACAAATATTTAAGTAGTTTAAGAGCATAGAGAGGTTGCATCATTCACAGAGTGGGCGGAGCTCTTGTCGCCATTCTCTGATTGGTGGAATTTTTCTGCAGAATCATGGGTAATGTAGTTTGTTCATCAGGAACTCTGCTGTTAAACATGTTTTTGTTTTGTTTTTTGGAAAAATAAGTTGAATAAAATAAAGTGGATAAACCAAAAGTCAATTTGTGGTATGTTTTTAATCTTTACACGTCACATCAGGTAATCTAAAACGGGTACGTACATTCTTCTAGTTGATTTTTAAGTTAAATACACATCGAATGTGTGCATAGAATTGATTAAATATTTGATTGTTTTTATATACACAAGCTAATCGTGTCACATGATCTGTCATTAATCGTAAAAGATCATTCATTTCACCTGTAACACGATGTATTTATACATAACACAACAGACGGCAAAACAAACAGAGGCTAAGCTAAGCTAACATATACTTGATCATAATACTTCTAAAAGTCAAATTTATCATGTAAAACACTTACAAGATTGGTTTACACCCTTGTTAGCTATACACATTGGTGGGAAATACAGTTTGACCTACTTCATATTGCTCTACACACTTGAATGTTTGCGTTAGCGCGCCGATTAGCCGCTAATACCTTGACGTTCTCCGTTCCTCAGGATCAGCGTGGGAATTGGGAGGACTGTGTATATGAAAACAGATGACAGACGTCACAAATCAAGCTGAATGTCTCTCAGATGTCTGACGTACTCTGAAAAACACAGATGAGGAAAAGCATGTGCTGGTGTGAGATAGCGTTAGCCTGTAACATCTGACGCCGAGCTTCCAATGGTGTTTGTCCAGCACCAGGAAGAAAGGCCCGCTAATGGTTTTCTGTAAGTGTGTGTGGGTGTGTGTGTTTTAAATTATTTTGCAGGTTTTTCATCTAATAATTCTATTTTATTTCAGTTACTGAAAATGTTTAATATTTTAAATAAATTTGCTATGTATAACAAAAAATAAACAGCAATATTATATTTGTACTTTTTTAACAATATATGCAATGCAAATGGATCATTAAATGAAAGATCAGAAAAAAACAATAAATAAAATATATTAGATTGTTTTTGAAATCTATATGAATTTTTAATATTTAAAAATGTATATTCGAAACTAGCATAGATAAAAGAATATAAAAATAATAGATACAATTTTTTTTTAAATATTTATTAATATTATAATTATTTATATTTCGAATATTTAATAGTATTTAATATTTTGCTATTAAAATTTTTATTTACATTTTTTAATATATATTTGACTATATGAATGCAAAGCTAACATATGTAATTCCTACATTTTGATATGTAAATATAAAAATGTACCAAAATTATACTTCAATCTACAATCTCACTACAAGACAAAAAGGAACAACTTTTTCCCTTCAAAATACCTTAAATGCATTACCTCTAAATGCGTCCATTCTTCACGTCTCCCATAGCCCCCCAGACCTCAAATAGAAAGACGTCAGGAAAGCCGAAGTCGCCCAGAACAGAGTCGAGCGCCTCGGCGAAATCATCTGGGTTCTTCTTGTTCTTCCCGGCCTCCACGATGGTAGTCGCTGTAGGACACAAGATCAAAAATGTATCATTGCATCAGTGTCTCAGCAATGGATGCTCTGCAGTGAATGGGTGCCATCAGAATGAGAGTACAAACAGCTGATAAAAGCATCACAATAATCCACACCACTCCAGTCCATCAGTTAACATCTGGAGAAGACAAAAGCTGAAACAAATCCATCATCAAGACGTTTTTAACTAAAATACGAGTCCATAATCCATAATAACGCTTCCTGCAGTGAAAAAGTGCATCTCCTGTTGGTCTCTCGCATCAAAATCCAGCCACATATTTGTTTAGAGCTGTTTAAATGCTGCTTGATCTGTGCAGATTTCTCTCCTGATTCCGACCAGACCAAGTTATCATGTGTTATCTTGGATTACGGACTCGTATTTTAGTTAAAAACGTCTTAATGATGGATTTGTTTCAGCGTTTGTCTTCTCCAGATGTTAACTGATGGACTGGAGAGCTGTGGATTGTTGTGATGCTTTTATCAGACTCTCATTCTGACGGCACCCATTCACATCCATTGGTGAGCAAGTGATGCAATGCTACATTTCTCCAAATCTGATGAAGAAACAAACCCATCTACATCTCGGATGGCCCGAGGATGAGGACATTTTCAGCTAATTTTCATTTTTGGGTGAACTACTTCTTTAATCTGGGTTTTTTTTGGAACGAGTCGATCCCTGGAGGCCACGGAATGCTTCCAATAATGCTCGTGATGAAATGCACTGAATTCATGGGAATTACAGAGACGTTCTGCAGGCCTTTTACGGTAACGTCCAAATCTCAGAAGAATCTCACCGAGCTCGAGGTCCCGGATCCCCATGTAACTCTCCAGCAGGTCGTCGACCTTCTTGATGGCCTTGTCTTCGAACTCATCAGGCTGTTGGAAGACAAATGGTTGAGATGGAGAGCAAAGTTAAGGTTGAAAAGGCCTGGGATTTGCACCCTGACTCACGATTTCCTCCAGCGTGGCCGATCCTTTGGAGCGCAGCCGCAGCGTCTCTTTCCCGCTCACCATTTTGCCCTCGCCGGACTTTGGCGCTCGCGTCCTCTGGCCTATCATGTCTGATCGACACACAAACACAAACACACTTAACCTTTCAATCGCTTCAGTTGTGAAATGGGTGCAACGGAAAAAAACAGGAAAACAGATTGAATCATCAAGAGCGACTGATGAAAGAAATTCCAGGATTCTGTTTCCTGGCTTTGAAATTCATGAGAAATCATGCGACTCATATCCGCTTTCGGATTACAGTAAATGCAAGCATGATATTTTACTGATATATCACTTGATTCATCATTTTTGTTTAGTTTAACTTGATGTACTGAAATAACTAAAACTAAAACTGAAATGAAAAAGAAACTATATAGACGTGTTTCAAAAGGAACAAAACCTAACAAAATGACAAAAAACACAAAAGAAAATTACTAAACTTTAACAACAAAAAAAAGAAAATGGAAAATGGAAAATATAAAAATGAATAATGATTCTAAAATATATATTTCTGGTGAATCAGTTTATTCAGGTGAGTCAAGTAGGGGAATCAAAACAACGATTCACTGCATTTTTATATCAAAGTTATATTGAATCAATTTAATTATTTTCTATTTAAATTCTCCTGCTCATATATTCAACGTTATACATTCTTGTTTTTTTCCCCCTGTATGTTGTATATTTTTATATTAATATTTATTATTTATATTATATATTAACGTAATATTTCATATTAATATATAAACATTTATTACAAAGTTACGATATGATAAGAGTAACATAATTAAAATTAAAAAATAATATATTGTATAGTTTTCCCCATGTTTTGTAAATATGCTTCAATAGCCTATATTTCAACTACAGTCAAGCTAAACGTTTAAAACAGGAGTTAGCTTCGCTAAAAGCTACAAGAGCCCGGTCTCATGAAATGCATATAATACGCAGTTTTCGCGTGCATATGATACGAAATTTGTTGGCGTGCATATGATACGCAGTTTTCGCGTGCATATGATACGAAATTTGTTGGCGTGCATATGATACGCATCTACCCCACAACCCTAAACCTACCCATCGCGTAGCATATACACGCCAAAGTCCATTTTTGTGTATCAATACCACAAATTTTCGTCTTTATTTGGCGCACTATTTATACGCACTTTCATGAGATCGGGTTGGCTACAAACAAAAAGCTAGCTTCACTGAACCTATTTCAGGAGGCGGTATCGCTTTAAATACATGAAGCTAAAGTATAAAAGCTAAACTATTGAAAAGTAGCCAGGAATCACTACTTGTAGTTAGTTAGCTAGGTTGGTATTAGCTGCAAATTAGCCAGTGGCGGCCATTTTTTCTTTGATCTTCTATGTAAACACAGTGAGGGAATTGAGCGTAATTACCCGCGCTTCTCTCACAAAGGCTAATCCATCACTCGGAAACACCCAATTAGCTAATGCTATAATGATAATCAAAGGCCTTTCAATTATTAACGGCAGTAATTGCCTGTCACCGAAGCGCTTCAGCTAATTATTACTATTTACTGCTTTGAGTCTGTAATTACTCAGACCTGCGCGCGGGCCCATTACTAGCTCGCTAGTTCATATCGACGCGGATCAAATGCATTGAACCCTTGCATTTGTTAAACCCTCCTTGATAAATGACACTTTTCCGTTCATGTCGGTCTTTAAAACTGAAGTTATTGTACAGTACAATTTGAGGAAATGTCCTCTTCAAGCTTACGAGTTCATAGTTATTTGAGGTCACTGTAATGATATGAATAATTAAATGACATGCGTGTGTTTGTGTTCACGAGCCGCTGAAAGCTTTCTGAACCACAACTGTGTGTGTTTTACTTGCATGTAAATAAACATAAATAAATACATTTGGAATACATCGATGTTAATAGTATACATGATGTAGGCTACTCTCTATATATAAATATACACATAACATTTAAATTAATTTAAATAGTAATATACTTCTCATAACAATAAATATGTATGTAAATATGCATTTATTATTAAATATATATTTCTGGTGAATCCGTTTATTCGGATGAGTCAAATAGGGGATTCAAAACAATGATTCATTTATTCACAGCATTTTTAGTTTATTAATTTAATGTTATTTTATGTTTAAATTCTGCTGTTCAGGCCAAAATGACTATATCGTCAACATTACATATTTTGATACTTTTTTTTTTTTGTATGTTGTACATTTTTATTTTAAATATGTTTTTAAAAAATCATAAAAAGTACATTTTTAGTTTATTTAAACTAATAAATAATAATATACAATGCATTTATTATTACATAATTCAGTTCTAATTATTTAAATAACTATAGTAATATACGACTCATATGCCATATTTTTAAAATACATATAGTATATTTATATTTTTAAACGCATTTTGTATTATCTAAATTAAATTTATTTTCCACTGTTTGACCACACGATGGCGCTCTACTCTTCAATATATGACCACTACAATTTTTCATTTAAATAAGTGTGTAATATACTGTGTAAATATTTTTTTTTTATTATTATTATTATTTTGCTGTATTTTTTGTTGTATTTTCATTTTGGAGGCTCAAATTCTTAATATTCCCAAACTAGTCCGAAATTATTCCAAAGTTATGCATTCATTCATTCTCTTTTTTGCTTTTGTTTTCATTTTGTTGCATGTGTGTATATATATATATATATATCATTATTTTTTATTTATTTATTTATTTTATTTTTTTATCTCTTTTTATTTGTATTTTCGGGGGCTCAAATGTTAAGATTCTCAATATTCCAAACTGGTACAAAATTATTCCAAAAGTATTATTGATTAATTGATTTATTTATTTTTTTCCTTTTTTTTGTGCTGTATTTTTTGTTGTTATTTTCATTTTGGAGCTACTCTAATATACTGTATAATAGCTTTATATACTACTATGTTATTCCATAGTGTGAACACATGGTGGCGCTGTTCTCCTAAATATAAGGTCCATATAAGGTTTATACTGTAGACACAACCAGATGTTTGACATCAGGTGTGGCTCTTTTGATGAAGCCAGAAGCAGTAGCAGTCAGATGTGTGTGATTCCAAAAGTATTATTGATTAATTGATATATTTATTTTTTTCCTTTTTTTTGTGCTGTATTTTTTGTTGTTATTTTCATTTTGGAGGCTCAAATTCTTAATTTTCCCAAACTGGTCCGTAATTATTCCAAAATTCATTCATTCATTCTCTTTTTTGCTTTTGTTTTCATTTTGGTGTGTGTGTGTATATATATATATATTTATTTATTTATTTATTTGTATTTTCGGGGGCTCAAATGTTACGATTCTCAATATTCCAAACTGGTACAAAATTATTCCAAATGTATTATTGATTAATTGATTGATATATTCTTTTTATTTATTTTATTTTTTTTTTTTTGTATATTCATTTTGGAGGCTCAAATTCTTAATTTTCCCAAACTGGTCTGTAATTATTCCAAAATATTCCAAAGTTATTTGATTCATTCATTCATTGCTTTTGTTTTGATTTTGTACTTTGATTTGTTCTGTTTTCCCGGGGGCTCAAATGTTAAGATTCTCAACACTCTAGACTAGTTTCCCAGGAAACCGTTAGCTGGTTACCCTGGTTACCGCACTTTGATGAAGGCGTATCCCGCGCCGTTGTCGGTGATGGTCAGGCCGAGCGCGTCTTCGGTTTTAACGACCTCCACCTCTTTGGTTTCTCCCCTCACGTGCGCGAAGATGAAGTCCTCCAGACCGATCTGACCGCCCAGCAGCTTCTGCATGTCCACTTTGTGCGAGTTCAGCGTGCAGAAGAGGATCTGGAGGGAAAAACAGACAAACGCGCGTCAGATCACAGAGAAAACCGACACCAGATCTTTTTTCCCGCCGTTTTCCACCATGAGGCGGCCAGTCTCGCGCACCTCACACGCTAGATGAAGCTGTGGCGGTTAACTAGCACTTTTAAGGTAACTATCCAATATAACTAATGTTGTGTGTTAACGGAGTTAGCATCGATGAACGTTGATTAAAACATGATTTGTATTCGTATTACAATGTTTAACGATGCTAACAGATGCTAACACTCCAGTTTGCTAGCATTCAGGCGCGAGTCTCCATGTTAATATCCATTAAAATAGTTTTGTACTAGACTTAATCAGTAGCTAAAACGACTGGTATTAAATATTTTCAGCTTTACCGAGCTATAAATGTAAGTTACGAGCGGTTTGAACGCATAAATGCTCACGTGATCCTTTAAACTTTCGACTCAGAAACTGTTTGGTTTCAGATAAAAATAAAATTCAAGATAGTCCTGAAATGTCTTGATAGCAGGTTCTTGAAGGATATTTTCTCCTGAAGGCCGTGTAATTTTTACAGTTCATTGCTTTTGAAGAAAAGATTACAGATAAACCTGATCGGTTATGTAAGTTGATCTGGTGATGCACAAGCAGCGACACATGACTAAAATACTTTTTATTTAGTAGTTTAGTAATAGTTACATTTTTATAGTTTATTATATAAATACTAAAGCTAATACATTTTTAAAAAATCAATATGTTCATATTAAAATCTATTCATAATCAATGATATTATTGTATTAACATACAAAGCTATTTATTTATTTACATAAGGATTAAGCTGACTGATAACAATATACTTTCCAGAAAGTTCTGGGCTCAGGCATATGAGAAAACATTTTGGTAGGTTCATTTAAAAAATAAAAAATAATAATAATATATATATATATTAAGCAATGTAATGTTAAAACACAAAATTAAAACATTGGAACTTTTGTTTTGTTTAATAGTTTTTTTTTTATTATATTATTGTTCAAGGCATTTTACTAAAGAAAAAAAATGTATATATATATATATATATATATATATATATTTATTTATTTATTTTTAT